AAAGCTAGAACATGCGAGTTTGCACAATTAACGGATAGTTTAATAAAGGATAAAATTGTTTGTGGTATTAAAGATGATATAGTGAGAGCAAGATTGTTACATGAAACAGAATTAACATTAGAAAAAGCTCTTGATATATGCAGATCTGCTGAAATAAGTGCACATCAAATGAAAATCATAAAAGATGAGGAAACTGCTGTAAACTTAGTGAAAAAGAAACTAAGTAAACATAATAAGAATACTTACAAAGAGGTAAATACCGATAAACAAAAGACAAAAATTTGTTCTAAATGTGGAACATCTCATGAGTATCGAATGTGTCCAGCATATGGAAAAATCTGTCATAAATGTAAAAAGGCAAATCATTTCGCGTTAAATTAATAAATCACGACTCTGTGGAAGAGTTAGAATTTTATGTTGGCACACTAAACCTTAATTCAGATAACAAGGAAGAGAAATGGACTGTTGACGTTAATGTAAATAAAAGTAAACTAAATTTGCAGTTAGATACTGGAGCAATGTGCAATGTTATTTCTAAAAGCAAAGTGAAATTGCTAAATGTTCCGATACAGAAGTCTGAAATTAAAAGATTAGTTACATTCTCTGGGAATAAAATGGATACTTTAGGAAAAGTAGTACTTAACTGCCAATATGGAAAAAATAATTATGTTGTGGAATTCCAAGTTATTGACAAAGAAGTACCTTCTATATTAGGATTAAAATCATGTTTGCAACTAGGTTGATTCAGAAAGTAATGTCTGTTTACACTGAAGACTTACTGGAGGAATACAAAGATGTATTTGAAGGCTTAGGTTGTTTGAATGGAGAATATAAAATCCAGTTAAAACAAGATGTAACACCAGTCATTCATCCTCCAAGAAAAATACCCATAGCTATACGTGATAAAGTTAAGAAAGAATTACAAAGAATGGAAAATTTAAATGTTATTGAGAAAGTAAGAGAACCAACTGAATGGGTAAATTCAATGGTCACAGTTGTCAAACCGAACAAAATAAGAATATGTTTAGATCCTAGAGATTTAAATAAAGCTATAAAACGAGAACATTATCCGATGTTAACCATTGACGAAGTTGTCACTAGAATGCCTAACGCAAAAATATTTCTTGCTTTAGATGCTAATAGTGCTTTTTGGCAAATCCAGCTTGACGAAGAAAGTAGTAATTTGGTGTACATTCAATACACCTTTTGGCAGATACAAATTTAAAAGATTACCTTTTGGCATATGTTCAGCTCCAGAAATTTGCCAAAGAAAAATTAAGCCAAATAATAGAAGGTCTAGAAGGCGTTGAATGTATTATAGATGATATCTTAATATGGGGATCTAATGAAAAGGAACATGAGCTACGACTTAAAAAAGTACTCCAGAGAGCACGAGAAAATAATTTGAAGTTCAATAAGGCTAAATGTAAAATAAAAGTTAATCGTGTGAATTATATAGGGCACGAGTTAAGTGAAAATGGACTAAAACCTGATTTTTCTAAAGTGGAAGCAATTGTTAAAATGCCAGAACCTACAGATGTGCCTTCGCTACAAAGATTTTTGGGAATGATTAATTATTTAGCCAAATTTATTCCTAACTTAACTACTATTACTGCACCATTAAGACAGTTACTTGAGAAAAATGTTCCTCTGGCACTGGACTGAAAAGCATCAAAAAGCTTTCGAAACACTTAAAGAATTGATTGCAAAAGCATCCCGTATTAAAATTCTATGATGTTAATAAGGATGTAACTCTTTCAGTAGATGCAAGTTCTGAAGGATTAGGTGCTGTTTTACTACAAGAAAACCAACCAATTGCTTATGCTTCCAGAGCTCTAAAAAAAGTCAGAAAAAATTATGCTCAGATAGAAAAAGAGCTTTTAGCTATTACTTTTGGATGTTCTAAATTTCATCAATATATATGGCAAACGTATTACAGTTGAAACTGATCATCGACCATTAGAAAGCATAACTAAGAAACCTCTTTTTAAAGCACCACAGCGATTGCAAAGAATGCTGTTAAATTTACAAAAATATGATCTAGATGTACGATACAAAAAGGGGAAAGACTTATTAATAGCAGACACTTTGAGTAGAGCATAATTTGAATACAACAGAGGAAGATAATGATGAAGATACAGAAATTTGTACACTGATTCCAGCATCTGATGACAAAATTTATTAATTTAAGAAAGTGAATATGATGCTACACTACAGTGCTTAAAGAAATATATTCTGAGAGGCTGGCCAAAAAGGACACATCAGGTAGAACTTTAAGTCAAAATATTTTGGAACAGAGATGAGTTGACAATGGAAAATGACTTATTTTTCAAAGGAGGAAGGGTAATTATTCCTTTATCTATGCAAAAGGAAATGTTAAATTTAATTCATGAGGGTCATTTTGGTATAGAAAAATGTAAGAAAAGAGCTAGAGATGTTTTGTTTTGGCCACTTATGAACAAGCAGATAGAAGATAAAATTTCAAAATGTTCTATATGTAATGAATACCAGAACAAAAACATAAGAGAGCCTATGATACCACATGAAATTCCCAATTTACCTTGGTATAAAGTTGCGACAGATTTATTTGAGATTAACAAAGATGTATATTTATTAATTGTAGATTACTATTCCAACTTTTTTGAAATCTCCAAACTACCGGATACTCGAAGTCAGACAGTGATCAGTTACATGAAATCTCATTTTGCAAGATACGGTATACCATTGATAGTGATATCTGATAATGGACCTCAGTTTGCAAGTAAAGAATTTTCAGAATTTGCAAAGAAATACCAATTTAAACATATAACAAGCAGTCCATACCATCCACAGTCGAACGGATTAGCAGAGCGTTCAGTACAAACGGCGAAGAAATTGTTAAAGAAAGCTCAAGCAGATCATGCTGATCCTTATTTAGCATTGTTAGCTCATAGGAACACTCCAACTAATGAGATGCTAGGATCACCAGCTCAACGACTTATGAGTAGAACAAGAACAATTCTTCCTACATCTGAAGAATTACTTAAACCTCAAGTTGTGAGAAATGTAAAAGAAAAAATCAACCAAGAAAGAACTCAACAGAAGTCATATTATGATCGTCATACAAAAACATTACCATCACTAAATAAAGGAGATTGTGTTCGGATATATCACGATAATCGCTGGAAACCAGCAGTTGTAGAAGAAGTGCATAAGACGCCTAGATCATATATACTTAGATCAGGTGGATCAGTATTGAGAAGAAATAGAAAAGATATTAGAGAAAACAGTTCAGCTGTTGATGAGAATATCAGAGGAACAGAACAAGGAGTTAATACACAGAAAACAGATGTAAAAGGATATGATTCCAGATATTCTCAAGGGCAAAGTTTAGAAGATCAACTACCAAACTCTGCTAACTCAGAAACAAGGAACGGTGAGCTAAGAACTAGAAGTGGGAGACTGATTAGAAAGCCGGCCAGGTATTTGGACTGATTTTAGACTGTTAAAACTTTTGAACTCTTTAAAAAAACGGAAGATGTAATATTTAATAATTTGTAAATGGTAACATTTAATATTTAGTAACTTGTAATTGGCAACACTTTGGATACAGATTTGAAAAATAGAACTATGCTGGTATTGCAGTTCTCTGTGATTATACATTCTAAGATTGTAAATAAATAGTTTCTAAAAGCTAAAAGTGTACCCTCATAATAATATATCATTCAAAATGGGGCAATCTCATTGATGTACATCTTATTGATTCTCTGCATATGTCTTACTACTGTATGTCATTGGAAATTAAATCATTTGTTTAATGCTTGATAAAATTATTTTTTTCAATCATTCTTTCATGGGTGGCTTTTTTTTTGGGGGGGGGCAGGCAGTGTATTATCGGACACATTTCAGATCTCCTAATATGCTGTTTGCTCCATTACCCTTGACACGCTTTGAAGAACTGGAGATAAATCATTGATTTGCCACTATATTTCCTATTAAAGCAATACATGCAGAAGAGTACTGACTTTTCTGCAGAAACTTGTTGTGTGATCTTTCTCATTTTATACAGTTCTGATTACACTGTCCATAAATTTGTGTAGTGGTTAACACATAACATTAAACTAGAAACATTAAAACTAGAAAAGTTCAGTATAAACTTTTTTAGTATCTTACAAATGTGTAAATGTAAGATATACCAAATAGTGCTACTTTTCCGTAGATAAATATACGTAAACTTCTACTAAAGTTGGTATTAATTCCAAATTAATATACAATTTGACTTAGCCTTATTTAATTGCAAGTAAATTACTATTTAAGAAGAGTGAAATAGATATAAAGAACTCAGTCTGAACAAGAACTTGCAGAATAATTCGATCTAACAAAACAAAAAAAAAAAAAAAATAGTTGCATTAAATCCCTTAACAAAATATATTTAACTCCCTCATTTTTTTTTTTTTTCCTTTTCTTTTCTAATGGCGGGCGCTTGCTTAGGTTGGCATTGGCCACTACTAAGGCCAGATGTGGTGGTCTCTTTGTTACGGAGGAGGCACCTTATAGGTGGGCCACCTTTGCCTCCTATGAAGGGACAGACAATTTACATTCATGCCTTCTCAGGGATTCGAACCGGGACTCTTCGGTATCGCAGTCAGGCTCCCCTAACCACTGTGCCGTCAGGGCGGCTCACTCCCTCATTTTACATCAGCGTCAAACTCTGGCTGAATTTTGCCTTTGTTTAAAGTGTCTTTTATGTTCTACGCCTTTAATCTTAAGCCCAAAATAATTTAATATAAAGGTCATAATTGTGCCTCACTTACGTAACTTAAAACGAAAAGTGATATATATATCTACACTGCGCCCTGCGTTGTGATTTCCCCGGGTTAAAAGAGAAGTACATTCCCTATGAGCAATCAAATCTGTCAGTAACTAAAGCAGCATTTTCTCTTTTAAAAATGTTAAGCAATATTATGAAATTTTATTTTAGAAGTTTAATAAATAATAATAATAATGGTTAAAATAACTTACTAAATATGACTTTTTTCTGTCTTTCAGCAGCTTTGTCTCTAAGCAAAATGAAAAACAAATGCAGTGCATAAGTATAAACATAATTTTCCTTTATTATTATCACTTTTAAGGAGACTTATTTATGAAGAACAATATTTTATTTCAAAAACGAAATAGAACTAAGTAATCGATACTTTTGCGCGACTAATAGGCAAAAATAAGCACGTCTCTAAAACAATTTGAAACCACGTTTTAATTATAATTAAATAATGGTACATAAGACATGATAACATGAAAATTGATGATTAATATATTTAAATCAACTTTTAAAACAAAGAAAATTGAAAAAATAGACCGTTATTAATTGAAATAAAAATATCTCCTGCATTTTCAAAGACGATGCGATGCAAGTCTCTCTTGAACAAGAGCAATATTTTAAGTGGATATCCACATCATAGCAAATTTCAGACTACAGATACATACATAAATTACAATAACACTTTATCCATAAAATGCTACTGCATGCTATGTAGCACCTGAATATTTTCCATGCAAGAAATAAATATCCTGTAACCCACCTTCATCAGATGTGAAATTGTCTACGTCTGAGGCATCTCCTTCTAAATGGCGCTTTTCACAGGTGCCTGATTATCATAAATATATGTTAGAAAATATTTATACACGCTTCCTCTCATTGCAAAAATCAAAACGACATTTTGAGAAATTGTAATCTGAAAACTTCATATTGTCAATAATTATTATTCATCATTATTAATTAGCATAAATTCGTAAACTTCGTATTACCATCAAATTAGTAAAAATAATAGCCAATACTGTCAATTGTTAAATCTAAATTAAGGAATTTAAATTCATCTCGGTTGGAAGGGGGGAAATTTCAATTGTAAATTCTCAGTTTTTGTTCTTTGCATATTTTTTCTAACGTAAAATGGTATAAAAAATAAAATATCGAAATACTATAAATATATTAATATTTAAGAATTTTTTAATTAAATGAGGAAGAGGGGATTGCAATCTATATATTATGAAACATTTTATATTCCGGTAGATATATTTTAAATTCAGATACAATGGACAAGAGTTAAAAAATTTACGGGCACTAGAGTCCATTTTAGTTTTCGCATTTGATCTCAATACTCTGTTTAAAAATGTTATTAGAGTCCAGAAAAAAAACTCCGTTTAAATTATTCCTCGGGGCAATGATTCAACACATTTTTAAATCGGGAAATGACAAAGCTTAGACTCCTCGATTTCAAATCTTTTAATCCTATTACGCCAGATGAAATCACTAAAAGAAAGTCTTCAATAAGTTAACAGTAAAAATATCTCATATACTTCAACAGTTGAACTGTAATAATAGCTTAAATTATAATAACTTATATTGTAATAAATAGAATAGTAATAAAATACTTAAAATTTACCTTTCATACGGCATAGAAAAAATAATACCCGGCTGATAATTCTTTAACATAATTAATTAACAGATGAAAAAATGTAAATATTTTAAATCTAAATTGCAACAGTAATAACTTTATAAGCCATCTGAATCCTTTCATGCAGAAAACTTTAAAAAATAATTGTTGCTTTATTTCAATATTAGTTTTAAGTTCATCATAAAGATTCAGTCATTAGAGATTAGAGACTTATACAGATTAGATACATACGGATCAGTCATTAAAAATTTTAAAATACTAAAACCTCTTACTTTCAGTTGAACCACTTGAAACACCCATGATCTTTAATTCCTGCGAAAGGAAAAAGAAATATTAATACATAATACATGGTTGTAACTGTTTTAGTGTACGTAATACCTAAGCAACAAAAATCTCTGTGTTTGATTATATATTTTTTTTTTCATTATTTGTAAGCTAAATAAATTATAATCTTCGTCAAATCATGTTAAAATATGAAATTTTCTGCTTCACAATCAGACACGATTGAAAATTGCGTAAATTTTTATACAACAAATTCTTTTTAAATTGTGGATATTAAGCTGCGTTCAGACGGCGGCATAAAGAGCATAGAGGCATAGTTATAAGGGCGCGCATAAAATATGGGAGTTCCGTTCACACCTGCGAGATGGGGCTCTAAGCTGTGGCCAATGAGAGAAGCCAATTTGCGCATGCGTGGATGTGTCTACACCTTTCGAGTGCTGTTTTCTAGCTCGATTAATTTCCCGCGCTCGTTCTGCTTGTTTTCGTTATTTTGTGTCATGGCTTTTCCAGCTCACCACAAAGTTTTACTGGTTCAACAGAATGTTCTTTTATCTGCCCTTCTTATAAGCCAAGAGGCAACGAAAAGTAAAAAAAGAAAAGAACGAATGGTCTAAGATATTTTTTGGAAGACCATATTGGTTGGCACATATTTCTGCATTGTCTGTAGTACTCTTTTATACTATAACAACCCTGCATGTAATATATAGAGGAACCTTCTTCAATTTTTTTAAATTTCTCTTAGAGAAATACGATATCTATATATGCCTATTTAAAAAAAATCTTGAGGATAAGTGACAGATAGCTGTTTATAATATTATCCATTTGCAGGTGTGAACAGTTAAGCGGAAAACAGACTTACCATGCATTACATTATTATTATTATTATTATTATTATTTTATTAATTTTAATCAAAAGGACAGTTTTCTGTCTTAGCACTCCGTATCACTGTCACTGTCGATCCTACAGTATTGGCTGCACTACCATATCATTTCACTAGTACTAGTTCCCCAACAGTAAATACTATAAACGTTCACCACAATGCATTTTATGCTCATCATTAGATACATTTTGCTGTGTTGCCAGCGTTTGCATATATCTATTTCTAATAATTTGCATGTTATAAGCCGCAACCCTGAATTTCATATGCTTTTTTTCTGAAAAAAAAAAAAAAAAAAAAAAAAAAAAGATTTTACACTCGAGAGACTACAGTACATAGTAAACACTAAGTTTCATAAATTTTTTTGGATAATTCTGCAAACTGGTATGTTTACATCATATGAGTAATTCAAATTAAACTCTACTCGGCTGTGAGATGTCATAGATGTAAGTTTTATCCACGTCTCTTGTCAGAAGTAATTACTTTTAATTATTTTTCATTTGTTGAGAGATTATGACAATTCTTCACTCATTGGCAGACATGCATATTAAAGCAGCAAAAAGAGTTTAATTTCAACATATGCTGTCATTTCTATTTACGACAATATCTCAAGGTATTTCACATTGCAATTTAGGTACCCAAGTCTTCAATACACAAATTATTATAACCATTCATACTTATCCAAGAATTCTACCAAGAAAGAGCATGAATTATGATCAAATTCCATTCAATGATAGCAATAAAGGTGGATAATAAAAACAAATCTTTTCATTAAATTATAGTCATGTATGAATTATTATGCTATTCAGTTTCATAAAGTAAATTCCTTTCATGGAGACGAATTAAAAAACAGAACAGACTCAACAGAAGAAAACTGCTAACTGTTGTTATTGTTTTAAACATATTCACTACAATTTTTTCCTTCTTGGAATTCATAAGATTTGTTCTCAAAAGATTAATCTTTTAATGCTTACACCATTAAATTGACTATTTGACTATCTTAAATAATGAATATATATATATATATATATTAAGTATTTTTTTACTGTAAAAAAAAAAAAAAAAACACAGTCTGATATGAATTTGAGTTTTAGTAAATTAATTCATAAGTTTGTTTGAGAGAAATCAGCATTGAGCAAAGCAATACAATATTTCCATTTCAGCTTTTTCAATAAATTTATTCTTAATACAAAAATAATTAAACAGAAAGAAATGAAGTCAATAATTTATAGAAAAATAATAAGCAGAAAGAAGTAATAAATAATTTACACAGAAAAAATAAAATTTTCAACATGCATTTTTTAAAGATTTTTGATAATAAATGAAAAATGGATGGATCAATCATCTACAGGATCATACACAGCGTCATCATCCTGAGCTTACTTCGCTTACGAGTTTCATCCATATTTTTTAATTATTGTGAAAATCATTAAAAAAGGTATGTCATCATCGTAGATTTCTTGCGAGATTCAACTCTTTATCCGTTCGGATACGATTACAACTCATTCGATACGATGCCATATTAAAAAAAAGTGTGCTTCGTGTAGCAGCGAAATCGTCTAAAAAAACCGCTGCATTACGCTTATCCCAAACTCGGCGTAAAGTTGAAAACTTGGAACCTTGTACCACGAGCCCTAAACAGATCACAGCCAACTCTATAACAGTCGGCTGATACAGTCGCCTGTGAAACCAGATTATGTGACGTAGCACAGACTGGTTGCCTTGGCAACGCAGCTCGGCTTTAATCACTTATGCCCATTACACCCCCGTCTGAACACAGCCTTAAATCATCCGTGATTTATTTATTCTGGAAGTTAATGTATTCCTTTGTTTAAAATGTTTGCGGAAGCCATATGTCACGTGCAAATTGCAATAATTTAATTCGACTATTAACGTACTCTTAAAGAAAGACTGTATGAAGTAGGTTTTTTAGGATAGCGTAATTTGTGTTGCAGTACAAAAGGAGTTAAAGCATCTTTCGAAAATTTGGCCTTTTCCCGATTTTTCAGCATGAATGAGTTCTCCAGAGCCATTTCGATTAGAAAGCGTCTTAACGCAGAAATTACTGCCACTAATAAATTCCTTTCTACAGATACGCCATCTGTTCATAAAAAAAGGGGGGGAAGAACGCACATTTTGGAAAATAAAATTGAATATCCATACATGAATTGCATTGTTCTGTGTTGTAATCTAGTTGCTAATATTGCATTTAATAGAATTATGCAAATGCATTTATTTTCTTGTACATTATACTGCTCTGTGCAGAACTGGTTTCACGTAAGAGTTACGATATTCTTTTCGCACCTTATCTTTAAGGTTCTTAACTAATTAACGAACAGTGAATTACCTGAAAAATTAGATATATAATAACTTATAGATTAACCAACTAATTCGTAAGTCATTTATTTATAAAACCATCTTAATATAACTGAATTTTTTAAATGCATATTTGCATAATTTTTAGAATATGGAAGATCAGTTTAAAACAAGGAATCTGTCAGCCTTTCAACTAGCCTTACGCCAGTCTTGTTTTTATCATGGAGCAGCCCTTCTATGAAAGTACCCCAAGATGAGTTGTAGTGGATCTTTCATGTACTGTCAATTCCATTACAAAGATTGATTCGAATCTAATCGATTAGATGGAGGATGTATTAAACTAATCGCAGGCAAGCACTACCGTTCTAAAATGGACGTAATATCTACATTTCATACCATTCGCATAAGAGAGATGACACCCACAAAAACCAGCTGTCACTCCCAATGGTCATTATGTATTTCTTCAAATGCCATTTTGGTCTCATTAATGGACCATCTACAATGATGAGAACGATTAAATTAGCCTACATTTAGTTAGCACCTTATATAAACACATACATTGACGATATCTCAACTTCACGTGATATCTTTACTTACCATTTAAAAGCTTTTCACAAAGTCCTCAAAGCAACTCATAAACCTGAGACCAGAAAAATTGCAATTTTCTATATCAAAAATCACTCTTTCTGGTCGAATTCTTTCTCAAGATGGTGAACGTCTCCATTTCGACCGCATAGCATCAATTGAACGCTACTAGACTCTGAAATCAATTCAGGAAATCCATAGTTGCCTTTGATTTGCCAGTCAATTCAGAAAGCACTCTCGTAAATATGCTGTTTTTGCTAAACCACTTATAAACATCTCAAAAGGATTAAATAAGAATACCAGCAATGCTGTCGTTGTTTTAACAGATGACCAACAGCCTGCACTGCAAACCTTAAAAACTGTAATTATAACAGCATACTTTGAACCAAATTTGACTACCAAATTTTGTAGAACCTGACGCATTCTTGACCAGATGCAGTTTTATCTGAAGATCAGGATGGAAAGTGTCGCATGAATGAATCTGCATCACGCGCTTTAAAAATGCTGAAACACACTGTGAAAGCCATGAATTTGAGCGTACTGCTGTACATTGAACACTCAATGAAAATTTCCGCCTATATATTTTTGATCACACGTTCCAAGTTATTACACACACTATACAACCGCATAAGCTCGCAGAATTCGCAATTAATCGAAATTTGCGTTTTACGACTCTGCACCGATCTGGCAAGCAAAATCTCATCGCTTACTATGTTTCACGTTTTCCAGCACTTCGGTTTGTTGAATGTTTAATGGAAGGTAAATTTGTGCGAAATAGAAGCGGGATTATTTTTGTCAGTATGTTTTTCGTTAAGTTAAAGAAGAAAAACCATTGTAAAATGTAAATGTCGGTAAAACGCAATGACTACATCGATAATAATATCCTTGTGCGAATAAAGAACAATGGATCGAAATCTGTAGTCGTGACATCAAAGACAATACCAGAACAAACTTCGATCGCTTGTCATGACGATGTTGGACATATAGACGCCGAAAACTCTTAAAGCAATGCTATGGATGATTAATATGCAAAGGGACTATAAAATATATTTCCGAAGATGTCAGAAATATCTAATTGTCAACCCCCGAATCGCTAATGCCTACAGCTTATTGCAGCAGTTTTCCAGCAACACCGTGGAAAGTTGTATAAGCTGATCATATCATCTACTTGTCACAAAACGCAGCCAGAAACATTAACATGTTTGTCCAGTGCATCTCTCGCCGCTTATATAGTGACTGATGTCCTGTATCACAACATAATACTTCGATACGATAGCTGAGTATGTATTTATCAAAGAGGAACTACATTCATCGCACATCACACATACCGGTTTACGCAAAAATATAGAACTTTTGGTGATCGTGTGCTTAATGCATGATATAATTAAAGAAAATAAGAGTAGACAATCTCCTATAAACAAAAGAATATATTAAGTACTAAAATTACAATTATAAATTACATTGCAGGAATCAACGCAGAGCTCGGAACACAGTTCATGCTATCATCGCGTATAGTTGTCTCACGAGAAGTCCGAGTGAGTAATGACGTCGCTTAACTGCTCCGATTACGAACTGGATTTGACAGGTGGCGCCATCTCATGAATAGAAGCTAAAGTATCTGTCGGAGTACATCGCCACAAACCGCACAGGCAACGATGCCGCTTTGTTCGTCACAAGTTAACAGCATCGTGTAACAGTGGCATCACTTCGTCAATTAAAACAAGTGACTGACAAATATTCAAATAACTGGCATGTATTACTGCCCAGCGAATTACTGGCCATCAATACCACGAGGCAGAATTCCATCAAGAGATCTCCATTTTATTTGCTTCATGCATATGAGCGACATCTTCACCGCGAACTTCACACTGGAAAGCTTCACAAATGGCACGCCACGCGAATTTCAACTTGACATTTTATCTTTCGATAGGGCCGAAGCCGCAAATTATGTGCATGAAACACATTTGGCGAACAAACGCAGATTTAATCTCCAACGCAGATTCAATTCCTTCAAGAAAGGAAATCATGTATTATATTGTATCACAAATTCTTTCCAAAATTTAAGGGGTCATTTCTTCTCGTTCGTCCAGTTCGTTTTATTGTCAGTTACAATGCTTTCTAAAATAATATAATTGTCATTATTGATGATTTACATAGATTATATACATACATATTTTATTTTCTGGTTACTTGTCCCTCGAAGTCCATTTTTTCTGCATACGGTAAGCAAATTTATCAGCAACGTGCTAAGAAAAAGTATTATTAAGATACTTTTTAAACTAGATTTTTCTGCTTTAGTAAATTGTTTGAGATTTTTAAATGCCCGTCATTTCTTTTAAATTTGCGTTACACATTAATGTACTAACTGGCATTGACACTTGCAGATACAGGTAGGCGTATTATATTTTCGAGATAAAATAGCGTAATTTAAGAAACTTATGATTAATGTAATTAATAAAAACTAAATTAACTTAAACACAGAGAATATGAATATTATTTGCAGTACGTACACTTTCAGTTATTTAAAACTTTTCAAGCAATATGGTACAGATAGAATCAAAATACATATTTTTAATAAGTAAAGTTTGAACGTAGAATTTAAATGTAGTAAAATACCAAGAAAAACCTTCTTAAAAAAACAAGTAGAATGATTTCTCATAAAAATAAATTTATATTTACTTTTCTTCCAGTAACTCAATCAGATTGTTATCCCATGTTTGTACACCACTATCTTAATGCTGAACTGTTGTCTAGCAGATTGCCAGGTAGTTTGCATGTACGTGTGTAGCGGGTAGTTTATTGCACATAAACCGTAAAAATTCTAGTTAGTTCTGTTTCTTTTTGTATAATCTAATTGATGAAAATGATTTGACTAAGAAATTAGTAATTTTAATGCTTAGATTAATATTAAATATTGATATTAATTTCGTAATATTGGTATATGCCGTCCAATGGCTGAATTTGTATATTCCATGTAAATATTATGTAAGGATTATTTTTCAAAGTAAGAAATACGTTTTATTATATTCCTTTTAATTTTTGATTTTAAATCAGTGTCAAACACTTAGCGTGATCATAGCGCATAACATTTGTTTATAACTGCAATAATATGGTTATGCTTTAAGTCCTAACATTACATTTTGCAAATTATATGATGCTTTATCAAATATCTGTACATTTAGTTAAATATTTATGACAATTATAGATTTATCACTATGTGAATACAGATATTAGTATCGCAGTTTTAAAGTTATTAGAAGTTATTAGTATCGCAGTTATCAGTAACACAATTTCTTTCATTATCAGTAACACAGGATATGTAAATATTGTTCCCCTATGCAGGCTATGTATCAATGTTGTTTATGTCTATATGTAAATACTGTTTGTATTGCATATTAAATGCTGCAGAAATAGTTTTTTTCTACTACAGAATCAAAGTTTTTTTTCCCCCTCATTGATATTCAGAAAGTGTAAATGATGTTCCTTCATTTTTGTAAATATCTTTTTTTGTTGTTTCCTAATATATTTTTGCATAAAGAAATGCGTCATTTTTTCCGGGTTTTCATCCGCAGAGAACCCGTTGGCGCCGTTCCATTTTTACTCGCCAAGCTCGCGTTTCATCGACGCTTGAGGCGAGCCGTAAACGTGATACTTTGTAAACGTGATTTTTAGTGCATGTAAATTCTAGTTAGCAGACTAAACAATATATTAAGCATATGGTAGTAAAAATTCACAGATATAAGCATGTAGATGTAAAACTAACAGGTTAAACGTAATATACGGAAATAAATTGGTATTTAAATTTTAAACAGAAATTAATTATTAAATTATTAACTTTTGTTATGAATTTTGCTGATTATGATACTTCTCATTTTAACCTGCCATTTGACATAAAATCAACCTGCTACTTACAAACCGCTAGCCTGACCAAGTATGTGCATTATGAGACAAAAAAAAGTTACATAAGTTAGTAAAATGTAAATGTCACTTCTTTCAAATATGCCCAACTATTATAAGTGTAAAATATTTAATGCTACTTGATCAATTACTTAAAGTTTATTTCATTTTCAAACTTATTAATAATAGTTCGCGTTTACTCATAGGTCCTGAATTTTTTTTCATTAATGGTCCTTAATTTCTGTGTGCAGAAATGTGTATGAACTCTGATTAACAGTTTTCAGTTTTTTTTTTTTTTTTTATGTTACTTGCATGCAGGTTAAAGCAATTTACATTGAAACAAATACCCATCCTTTTCATAATTTATTTCACAATACTAATAACCTTCAACAGTAATCAAATTTTCTTCAGTAGCATTGTTAATAAAACTTGAACATTACACATTTCATTACTTTTCAAGAGTCATTTGAACTATATTCCTTACCCGCATTGGTTTGCTAATTTTGATGACCATGGGAATACCTCAAACTATTCTGTCACAGATAATCAGTAATAAATAGTATTTATTATTAAAATTTAATAATCTATTTATGTCACACACCTGCCATCCTCTGAAAGGTTATTGTAAGAAAAGCATTAACATATATTGTTACAATTTTACGCCATAAAAATTGATTTATTATCATAGTTTTAGGTGAGAATAAACAATAATAAAAATAAAAGCATTACTTAATTATTTAAAACGCACATTTTTGCGGAGTACGAAAACGAATTATTTGAGCGTTTCGAACCTCATGGTTCTCTGCGTGCGTACAGCTGTTAATATTAAGAACACAACGTGAACAGCCCGTGTTACAAATTAGCATTCACCCCTCCCGCTTTATTTTCTTCCTTTCATCCCGAACCGAGAACCGGGATCTACGAAATATTTCTATCTATTCGTTGTTAAAAAATTAAGAAAAAAAGTAATAAATAAAAGAAGAATAATAGAAATCTGCAAATGCGAAGAACCATAGTGATAACGAAACAAAATGGACGCAAGATGAATACCCAGATTTTAACTCTTATCGCCAAATTTGGCAATGTTTACATTCACTGGGTTCTCTCCGGAAGTGCTTCCTTTTTTCCTTTTAAATTTCTGATTTTGCATATCGATTTTATTCTTAAATCATCATATTTAATAATAATTTAAGAATTAATAGGAATAATTTTTATTTCTGTTTTAAGGATAAAAAAATTACATTTTATGGTAGGATTATAAAATAAGTAATGAATCAATGCTAATCATTAATGAAAAATCAAATAAGAATAATAACAGCACCATAAATATAGAAAACTATACTCGTAAAAAAAGAAATAGGTAACTATATGAAAATTGAGGAACAAACTTAACAGCCTAAGAATATTACTTGTTGTATTTGTGAAACAGACAGACAGATTCTAGTTCAGATAATATTAGGAAGTTTTTGGACGCTGTTAAGGAATTTTGTGTGCCACAGACTGAAGACGCAGAAATTTCTAAATAAGGTAAGTGGATCTTTGCTTTGTGTAGTGCTTAGATGCAAGAGATGAATTTCCTTTTTTATGTTATTTTGTTGTTTGATTTAAAATGTAGTTTATTGAGATTGTGTATTTTTTTTGTTTGGCTCTATTGTAGAATTGGGTGCTCTTTTGACGTTTTAAGTGAAAATTGATCGATGTGTACATAGACAAAGGGAGTGTGCAATGCCAAGTTTCTGCAATTCCTTGATGTTTTTTAAGTGAAAATCATCGATGTGTACATGGATAAAATCAAAGGAGTACACAATAACTAGTTTGTGCAATTCTCTGATTTTTTTAAGTGAAAATAGGTTGATGAGTGCATGGATACTGAATTTGTGCAATTCTTTGACTTGTTATTTTCGCTTTGTGTAGCAGCGCCAAACATCGCCGCTACACAAAGCCAAAAAAAAAAAGTCAAAGAATTGCACAAATTCTGTGTCCCTGTACTGCCAATTTTCGCCAATATATTTTTACTCCAAAATATATTGTAGATTGACAAAAGAGTGTTTTGGGCCATAGGTCCAAGATGTTTTAAAAAATTCTGGAAATATATTGTCTCGACCTGTTCGCCTCTTTCCCTTTAAGTCTTTTATAGCCCCTTTTAATTCTTTTATTTAAAAGTTATTAAAGATCCTGTTTTGGCTCTTCTCTTATATGCACCCTAAAATCACCAAATGTGGCGATATGTGTTCTGCGCTGATTTTTGACGCGATTGCATGTTGTATAGCAACTCTTTTGATGTTGAATACTCTTTTGTTGGAGTGTTTTAATTGCTTGTTGGTTCGCATCATGCATATTTTGAAATGGCCTATGTTGCAATGAGACACGTGGTTGCAAGAGGGTCTGGGAGATTATTTTTAGTGGCTGTGCATGATAGAAGTAAGGAAACTCTAATGCAGTGTATTAAAAAGTGGATTGAGCATTGTACAACTATTTGACTGATCTTTGGAATATGGTAACTGGTAGTTTGGCGACATTTTAGAGGCGATAAAGGTTACTATCTAGAACTTTGGTAATAATGTGAGAAGCACTCAGTTCCGATTACGCATTATTTTGTGTGAGGGAAATGAGAGATAATGAGATATGTCATGTGACATTAATGGACGAATTACAGTTGTTTAATCGGAAAAGGGGGGAAATCTGGAAATTTCGTATTTAGCTATATTCTGTGTTGTGTGAAACGTAACATTAATGGACGAATTACAGTTCTTTAATCGGAAAAGGGGGTTAATTTGGAAAAGCTTCATTGTGTGTTGTGTGAAATAGTGTTGATTAATTTTCGGATTGCATGGCACTATGTAAAGTGAATTCTAAATTTTTAATGTGTTTATCTGATAATAATAATAAGTTGAGATTGTGTGGAAGGAAGGATATTACAGTTAAGTTTAAATGGCGGTGCAAGAAATATGGTGAAAACGGACAAAGGAGTGTAAGGAAGAGTACGTGGTTTGCTGAAAGTAGTTTGAGTATAGGTGAAATTTTATTAATTTCTTATTACTTGGTGAATAGACTCCCTGTTGACTACTGGATTTAGGATTTAGAAATTAGCAGTAGTACTGCAGCCACGTAATGAAGATTCTGAAGAAGATTAGCTAAGTTAGTATTTTTAATCATTTGAGGATATTATTTTTATGCATTGTTCTAAATGTAAGGAGTAAATAAATTAATGTGGTATTATTGGAAAATTGTTATTAGCAATGATTTAGCTTAAAGTAATTAGGATTGTAATCTAATTTTTATTAATTTAATGTATGTGCTTATTTATATTTTAAGTAGTGTTTTTTAATTTAATTATATTTTAATTTATGATCGTGATTTTTGTGAGTTATATATTTGTAATATTTTGGAATACGTTTGAGTAGTATACGTTGAGTATTTTCATGCATTTTCGTGAAATTTTTCTAATTTATGAGAAAAACGCAGTGTACATGGATATAGTGAAGAGTGTGCGCAATGCCATTTTTGTGCAATTCTGGGATGTATTTTAAGTCAAAATTAGTCGACGTGTACATGGTTTAGTGATATTTTAATTAAATGATAGTTATTTTGTGAATTTTATGTTTGTAGGAATTTGGTATACGTTTCAGTTGAAGTAAACGCGTATAGAAATAATTTAAATATTTGAAACTAAGTATTTGTAACTATTTTTAACGTTTGCGTATAAATTCGTTAGTGACATTTATAATATAATAGATAATTTAGAGGTAAAAGCTTTTTGATATTTTATTTATTTTATACGTGGAAATGTTCATCCTTGGAAAGGGTATGTACTTTTTCGCGATCAGGTAATTTCATATATGTTCTTTTTACCGGGTTTAAAGATTCAGAAAATTGTAATGTATTTTCGTGAAATTTTTCTAATTTATGAGAAAAAAGCAGTGTACATGGATATAGTGAAGAGTGTGTGCAATGCCATTTTTGTGCAATTCTGGGATGTTTTTTTAAGTAAAATAAGTCGACGTGTAAATGGTTTATGTGTATGTGCTATTCTGAAAAATGCGCAAGGAGTTTTGCGATTCTGCACTTTTTCCCAATTTTGCAGTTAATATTTGTCATGATTAAGCAGTTTTGTTCCATAAAATTTCTAGCATAAGTGTAATTCGGCTAGTAGATTGTTGGAAAAGTGTTGAGTAAATAAAAAGAAAAGAAACAAGTCTTCGGCGGAAAAAAAAAATAGAGGTTTGCTGTAGCAGAGTTGGTGGCCAAAAAATCATTAAGTTACCATAATCCAAAGATCAACCGTCACTCTTTTATCATTTTCATTGCACCATTTCTGTGGTATGTGGGTATATTTATTCAGGAAGTTTTTATTAAATTTCTCTGCTATGTCGCTAGAATCTGTTAGCACCATGTCTCCAGTCCTCATAGGGTGGTTTAACTTAATTATTTTCCTATTGTTTAAATGTGTTCAAAAGTCTATAAACTCTCTGTCTGTTCTTTTATCCATTATATTTAGTAACTCATTCCAAGATGGTCTTCTAGCCTCATTAACTTTTTGCTTTATTAATGCACACTCCCTTCTGCATCTAATAACAGCCTGCCTCTGTTCCTCTGGGGTTTTCCTCTCCGTCTTCTCTGCTTCTACTCTGGCCATATTTCTTGAACTCAGCATTCCAAAAAAGTTTACATTTGAAGGAACATCTCGGAGTATTCTTCTTTTCACTTTTTAGTAGATTCTCGGATATAAAACATATGGGGGTATATCTATCACAAATTTTTTCAAATCGGCTGAAAACCCAGGTCAATTTGCTCTTGTAAAATTCCACATAGGTCTTGGGTGGGAAAAATTGGTCATCCCTTTTGAAGTGTAGGTCACTAAAGTCATTCTGTGTCTACCACCTGGGCTATTCAGCACAAATTTTTCACGGTTGTCAGTAATATGTGAAGTAATCATAGCCAGGTCTGGGTTTGTCGAACTCCCTGTAAAAGTCGTAGGATCCTTTTCACTATATAAGATCAACAAGTTCATTTGAATCCACATAATCCTCCACTATTTCTCTGAAGCGATTATAATATGCATAACAGATTCCATGTGTCTTAAATGGCACTTTATCTTTCCAAAGGAAAATATCCACTATCTCTGCAAAATCATGGTCATTTATCTCTTTTACAATTTAAAAAGAACATGTCAAATTCTACTTAATCACAACAAGTATACCACAGGCTGTCTTTTCTTATAAACTCCATACATGTTATAGTTTTTAATATCATAATATTTTATACTTTGTACCATGATGTTAGCATCTTGGACAACTGGGGCATTCACATCCTTCTCCACAATGATCTTTAATTTAAGGAACTTAGTTTAAAAAAGCCACCTGCATTCCATTAAAGACTTAAGGTAAATAAGATATGTAACCAAAGCAACAGTGGCGTAGCTAGGGTGGGACAAGGGGGGACATCTGTCCCCAGGTGCAGCGAATCCTAGCTATGCTACTGCAAAGCAACTTTCAAAATCAAGCAGCCATAGCCTCTGATTTACCCTGTTACCCATTTAGCACCAATGGCTACGTGTGACTTTAGGAATATCACAGATACGAGTAACGTTACCCCCTAATCAGGAAAATATTTTCATTGTCGGTAAAGCAACCAGTCTTAAATGTCGGCAAGCCTCTGGTATGAAATGATTTTAAAACCACTCATCAGGCCAAGCCTAATCGGCACTGTCGTGCAAATGTCTAACGAGCGCCTTTATGCAGTGATCATATTAAAGAGAAACTGCTTATGGTTAATACTTAAAGTGAAGTATTATTAACATAACAATAAAAAAAATACAATTTCTCTTTTAATTTTTCTAAATGTGAAAACATTTTGTGCTTTCTTAAAACCCACACTCAAACATATTTATTGAAGAATTATACCAAAAAATAACATTGCAAGTGAAGAGAAATAATATACTAAACACATTGAATAACAAATATACTGCTTAACACTATTTATTTTCTTAAAATTAAAAAAAAATTAATTTACATATCTAATAAGTTGTTCGCAGCATCATTTACGACAAGGTTCAAGCTGTGATTACAGTAGGGCACAAAAAATGCTTTAGGGTTCATGTCCAATATTATTTTCGGCCCACTTCTATGTTGTTTACAATGATATAGAGTTACAACCGGCGATGCTACATATTTTCCAAAAGTTTGAAAAAACTGCAGTTCATGCTTATATACTATTTATATCGCTTTCATTTATATAAGTTAACGCTTTTTGCAGTTTTTGAAATATGTTGAGCTGATTTTGTACTATATATAAACGAAACTTAGCCTTTCGTGGTTTCGGTAACAAATAATTCGAAAGAAATAATGATTTTTTGAAAGTGTATAGAAATGATCGCAAAATTTGCCCCTATCATGTGTGTACATTAATGAAACTCAAAACAATATGCCTCATTAAATTGGAGATAAAATTCAAAATGAAACAAATAGAGTCAAAAGTCTTTAATCCGGAATCGTCGGGACTTCGGCGATTCCAGATTATAAATCATCAGTTTAAATCTGGTAAGATGGCATGCAGAAATTATAAAATTAAAAATATGAAACTGTAATTTATGAAATAAAGAGCAATTATGATCTAAAGGGTATCAAAATTTACACACACACACACACAAAAAAAAAAAAAAAAAAAAAAAAAAGCTTATATTATTTATTTACTTTATTAAACATTTCTTTCAATGCGTGCATGCATAAAGGATAAATTGCGCATAGTCGAAATTAGGTCGAAATGATATTATCTCTCCTTGTTTCGAGCTAAAGCTAGAGCACACATAGCATTAAAAGACAACATTGGCCACCTTGTTATCCAATTTTTTCGCAGTTTTTAAACTTAAATTAGCACTCTCAATTCTACATGTGCAATTCAAAATGCTATGTAACTAATGCCCACAACAGGCTATACAAGGAATTTTTTATTTTATTATTTGAGATTTGACTTGTGAATGCGTTTGATTTGCATATTTTTCATTTTAAGTAATTAATAGTTTTCTACCAAAATACATGAAATTGGAGAATCTTCTTTTTTTCTGCAGTTTTTTGTGTTTATTAAACAAAGTAAATAAGTAATTTTACAGTAAGGTAGTCCTGGAACATTTTAATACACTTTCCTACAGGAAATGATACACATCATATTTGTTAAATATCCCGGAATTTAACAACCAAAATTGCCGAACTCAAATTCTGTAATAATTACTACACCAGTGAAAGAAGCACATGTGTAGTGAAATTTATTGAAATATATCCATATTCTGTGATAAAATGAGACAGAGTTGAATTAACAGGAAACTTGTATAAAGATGGCCTGAAAGTTGGAAAATTATCAAAATCATCCTGAAGTCATGTTGAAATTGAAAGAAAGTGTTAATAAAGTAACATCCGTTCAGTCTGCAGTATATCTTCACATCATTTCTTAAAAACAAGTAGCCCTTAAATGATGTGAATATGAGAGTCACTCACTAAAATTCTGGCTGATAAAGGAAGAAGGCTGCTGGCAAACGTTTCTGCTTTTTGTTTCAGCCTGCGACATAATTTTGCCTTTTGTACAGTTATTTCATTTATCATTTTATAATACATCTGTATTTAATCTCCAAGATAGTAGGAAGATAGCAAAATGTAACTTAACTTTTCCCTTTTTAGTTCACTACTGTTGCTTTTGAAATTCTTTTGTGCATAGGTTACAGCAGTTTTGTATTTATTATATTCATATTCTTTTAGCATGAAGCAAAAATGTGCATTGGAAGATAATATAGGTGATAAATGCGATATGTAGTATATTAATTTCATTCAAAAGATCTAATCTATGCCATCTTTTCACAACAGTAAAAGTTTCACAACAGTATAAAGTTGCCAGTTGGAATGTTCTCTGAAGCAGGATTTAATTTTTCTTTTCTGTTCTTAGGGCAAACGTGCTGGCAAATCCTCATCTTTTTAATATGTATTCCTACCATAAAGCATTTTTGACAAAATCAGGGCAGCATCATGCAATATAAACAATACTTCCTGATTAAGTGGCTGAATATACTGTTGTTTCAGGTATTATACAGATATTGCTTCAAACAGATACTCTGCTTAGCAATAAATTTATGTCAAAGAAATTTATAATCTAATGAAACTGAAGAGGAATTAGACAACAAAGAAAAAGATATACATAACAGGCATTGCATTTAGGTAATTCTGACTCAGAATGCATTTTAAACTAAAGTTATTGAATGTTCCAGATCAAAAGTTAAGAGTTTTACCAGAAAATATAAACAGCTTATGTATATACGTATTTTTAATAAGATTCTGATCATAATTGAATGATAATTGTTAGTTATATATTACAATGAATTATCCAAATAAGTACCTACTGCTGATCTGTTATTTCTAATTGCAAACATCCTTTGTTTTTGGTCATGCTTGCTAGTTTAAAGGATGTGTATGTGTTAATTTTATAAAATATATATGTAGTGCATGTGTGAGTATGTACAATAAATTGTTCATAAATTTCACAGAAGTTTATACATTCTTAAATCATTTTCTTGTTAAGCTTAATTTAGAAAAATGTGATGAAAGATATCAAGGTCTTGTTTTATTAAGACCCTAACATGCATCAGAATCGACTTAATGATGGGACCACTGAACATGGAGGATTAATTGTAGTTAATCAACTGACATGTATAGAAATGTATTTTGTCTTTAATGTTAAATACAGTACAAAGTCCGTAATCCGGACTCATCGGGACTTCGGCGATTCTGGATTAGGGGTTTTTCCGAATTATAGATCATCTGGTAAGATGGCATGTAGAAATTATACAATTAAAAATATGAAACTGTAATTTATGAAATAAAGAGCAATTATGATCTAAAGGGTATCAAATTTTACAATAAAAAAAAGCTTAACATTTATTTGTTTACTTTATTAAACATCTCTTTCAACGCGTGCATACATAAAGCATACATTACGCATAGTCGAAATTAGAAAATTTCAACCAGAAAACTATTTGATGTGTATTTGTGATATTTATAATGACGAAGAAATTGATTTAAATCATATCAAAGAGGAGTACATCGAGATGAAACACTACATTTAGTAAGGAATTATAAACCGAATAAAATAAAAATATCTGCCCTGAAGATGAGAATAGTGTTGACAGATAAACTTCCAGTTCATTGCCTAAAATGATACTAAAATGTATTCATGTGGCATCACAGATAGCATGCAGCATTCCCCAAATGATTCAACACTTCTGTGAAAATTTTCACCCTTCTTATTGCAGATTAAATCCCTCCTATAGGAATTTCAGCAAAATAGTGGACTTCACGCTGCAGTTTTGGTTGTCTTGGCAATCCCAGCGACTAGCTAGATCAATATCAGATAGCTTCGACTTCTGGAGTAAATAAACTGTCTTCACAATGACTAGAAACATCGCTATTCGGTGGCAAATTCAGGCTCAGCAAGGAGCTTACTGGTACTGTATTGTCTGCCTCTTTGTTATGGGGGAATTAAATGGTCAGATATCGAAGATTGCCCTTGGGGGATGGGCTCCCATTGCTGAAAACTGGAGGACGGTTGATGTCTAACTATGACCATGTTCTATGTAAATCATTAAAATTTTCCTGCATAGACCAGGGGGATGGTGCCTCCTTGGACGGGCTGCAGGAGCTGGGGCAATTGAACCGTGTAAAGGGCTGCCTTAGCATGTCAGGTCAGGATGCCCCTTTCTTCTGGTGCACTGTCTTATTTGAACATCCCCCGGGGGGTCGACTCAGATAAAACCTTGGATGCTACTGGTTATAATCTGTACCTAGGCAGTCTCGGCCACAAGGGTATAAAATTTGTCTTCACAGAACTAGAGTCACCGCTGGTAAAGACTGGTTCAGGCTCAGCAGGGACCATATTGTACTGTCTTGTCTGTTCCGTTGTTTGTGGTGGAGCTACATAGTCAGATATTCATGGTTGTCCGGGGAGAAACATCCCCGTCAGTAGAGGCGGCAAGTTCAGCAAGCCTTTAGACTTCTTGAGGTTTTCAGAGGGCGCCTGGAGAACGTTCGAAACATTCCTCTTCCAGTTTTTCAGTACAGTATGATTTCCATTAATCTGAATATATTATAGTTCCTTTTTCGATATTTTCCTTAATTGCTTCTAATATAATGCTCATGGATCGGTTTGGCAGCTTCACATGGCAACATTCGTTTGTTTTATAGCAAGCTGCACCAAAGATCCACTGCTGTCATTAGAATCTGTCCCACATTGTTTTTGCGCTTTGTGAACATACTTTCATCCACTTGGATGATCATACCAGGTCTTCTTATATTCCGTTGTTTATGTTTAAACAAAAATCCACACAAATCTCGCACATGTAGTTATTCCACTCCACAACGGTTCTGTGACCAATTTTCACACTATTTGGCTGTCATGGAGGTAGGAAAGGAAGGAGGGGCCAACCGACACTAGAAGTGAAGCACTGCTTTGAAGCTTGGGTCACCAGATGGGGTGTTCTTTGTTTACATTCAGAAGCTCGCTTGACAGGGCTCTGATAGTATTTCGACACACGACAGTTCCATACAAATAAAAAAAAGGGACACTTTCGCATGAAAGAAACATTCATAGTGTGATGGATAATAGCAATTTGTATAGTTTAGTGACATTTATGCAAAAATCACATCTTGGTTATTTTTCGATAACTAACAACAGCGATTTTGATTATGAATTTGTTTTATAAAATTCTAAGCTGTTGAACTACAAAAATATAGATTTTAAGAAAATTTTATGCTTAAAGAACGAAAAATACCTTACGGTACATCTAAAATTGTATACGTCTTTCAATACCCTTGATAGAGTATTTGCTACTTTTATTTTCCAAACGCCAAAATGTTTTAAATAAAACAAATTTTTTTCACATCCATATATTATTGTAACATGTACCTTTTGGAATTTTTTAGAGGAGAGGCTTTACTGCTGCTCATTTTAAACTCATCGTTTTAATTTTATATATCTGAAAAATAATCACTTTGGGCTTACACGTTTTACTTATTTGGGTTAATTAAAAATAAAATTACCATCAAATGCTGCAATCCTCGTCAAAATTAATAAATATACACACAGATATGCCAATAAGTTAGCTTTCCCTTGATTTGGAACCACACATTTGTGTAAAATTATGTACAGTTTTACACAAATGTGTGGAACAGAAGAGGGATACATTTGCGAATTTGGCGGAAGTACCATGTGCGGTCAGGATGATGTGACCATGTGGACGTGCTACATCATCAAGACAGCTTATTAAGAATTTTAAAATAGGGTAATCGACGGAGGTGAAAACATTTGTATATCCTGCCAAAGGAGGTCCGATCATGAATGGTCCTCTTATTGATTCCAGATTGTTAAATGTTTCCCACGCAAGTCTTTTTTTCTCGGAAATTCGAGTTTTATGCTGGCTTCTTAACATACGCAGGTCTTATTCATAGACATGGAATTGAATAGTTATTATTTATTATATTATCAAAGAATTATTAAACTGTGTAAAATTGCCAAAAGAGATACTGAGTGCTCTGCCAAAATTTATTTTCTAGAAGATTTGAAAAGTTTGAAACTTGATGGCTAAATGTAAATATAAAATTATGTATGTTAAAATATTTGTAATTAGGCACTTAGGTCAGATGAAGTTTTTATTAAATAGAGTAACACATGCAAGGGCTATCTGCCTAAAGAGAGAGATGCCATCGTGGAGGAATTTTGAAGAAAAACTGACCTTTGAGTGGGTATTAAAAATAATGCATATAATTTTCATTCAAATTATATTCATATATATTTTTTATGTAAAACTTTCGGGTGTATGCTAAATTAGTGTAAATTACTTTACGCAAAAAATATAGTGAATGCACAGAAATTAAAGATTTGCACATGCCAGAAATGAAAAAATAGGAAATATGTATGGGTATTTATGCATGTGCTTGCAAAAAAGCATGTATCTGCCTTTGACAAAATACATAAATATTCATTAAATTATTTATAAATGTATTTGAAATGAAGAATTTATTCACTTATAAACAACTGTGAAAGTACTGTGAAGAAATCTAATTATTAAATGTATCTAATTTATAATGATTATAAATGTTATCTAAATATATAACCTTAATATCGAATTGTAAACATAAATTGAAATCCTGTTGACAAATACGTTATAAAACTATTTAAGCAAGAATTGTTCATATTGGAAAGCAATCTGTGAAAAGGTATTGTAAAGCAAATGCTACGAGATGTGCAGTTAAGAACGTAATAAAGAGTTTTGGAATATGTATTGTTTAAATGAAGGGTAAAGAAACTCTGATAAGTATTATTAAAAGAATTATTCCCCTTACATTTATAATAACTATAACTCAGTTACAAGTTTTAAATAATACTTTAAAAAAAAAAAAAACTTATTTATTTTATTATTCCCTTTCAGAAATGTTCAGAGAAAGTCAAGTACTATTTAAAGTATTTCGCTAATTCCTAATAATTTTCTAATTTAAAATGAACCGAATAGAGCATTAATTACAAATTGACTTACATTTTTCGATTTAAAAGATGCCTCAGAAGCCAAAAAATCATGTCATATTTAAGAAAGTATTTAGGAAGAAGAAATAATAATAAATAGAAAAGAAATAATGCATAATTTTAATATTAATAATACAATAAACTTTGATCTTAATTTTTGTACTTTAACCAAATAAAATCGAATTACCTTTTTTTTTTCTAATGTAACTAACGAAAACTTGTGAAAATATTTCATTCAAATTAAACCATTCTGAGAAAAACTGTCCTGTGAAAAGTATAGCATTTAATTCCATTTAGAATGAAATGTGTTTAAAATATGTTGTTTTCATATACTTAGAACTCTGAATGTTGTAGAAAAAGAAATATATACATTTATATGCATATTTGCGACTATTACAAAATATTTACATCCGAATGCTCAAACCCAGAACTCAGGTAAATGACCTGTTTATATGTGGCAACACACTAGTTGCTGGTCAAACTGAAGTGAATGATAGTCAGTGAATGTTAGTGTGGAATAAACAATGTGCTATGTGAACGTGTTGCAATGACTTAATTATAGATCAATAAAATTTAATACGATTAAAACATGGCGTAGTCGTGTGGAATAGTATTACAACTAATTGCCAGGCAATCAATCCCCTTGGTTGTTTTTCCTCTCAGCAGACGCAAGATGGAATTTTGTTGCCCACCACAAGGCCTAAGTTTCGACGACAATGTGGCTGAAAACTGGCACAGATTCAAGCAGCTGTTCCAGATTTATATGAAAGCTTCAGGAAATGCTTCAAAAGATTCAGATGTGAAAGTTGCTTTATTTTTAAATGCCGCTGGTGAGGAAGCAGTTGAAGTGTTCAACACGTTCAATCTTTCAACAGGAGATCAGGGTAACTATGAAAAAGTGCTTGAGAGGTTTGAAGCTTTCACGACACCTAGAACAAATGTTGTGGTGGAGAGATTTTTATTCAATAAGAGAAAACAAGAAGAAGGGGAACTTTTTGATTGTTTCGTAACTGACCTGAAAAAACTTGTAAAATCTTGCGAATTTGGTGAGCAGAGTGACTCTGTCATACGTGATCGCATTGTCCTTGGAGTATCAGATGCCAGTTTACAGGAGAGGATGCTGCGAGAAAATAATCTGAGTTTGGAAAAAGCAATTGAATTAGGGAAAGCAGCTGAATTGAGCAAAGCTCGTGCTCAAACGTTAAGAGAACACAATGTTGACAGCGTAACTAGAGAAAAGTGAAGCAACATCTGGCAGGAGGAGCCAATGCAGCCTTAGCAGTGAGGAAGCACAGAGGATGGAGTGATGACACTTCAAATACTGAGACATCTTTATGTAAAAAATGCAACAGACATCACGTTAATGGACAGTGTCCGGCATATGGAAAAAAATGCTTTAATTGTGGCAAACTAAATCACTTTTCGACTATGTGCAGACTGAAGCACATCCAAAATGTTTCTCAGCATGATAACGCAGATGTATATAGGGAATCTGATAATGAATTCTTCGTGAATTCCATAAATGTTCAAAGAACTAAAAGTGTGTGCTCAACATCATCTACAAAAGAGTGGACTAAAACTTATAAATTGTTGAAGGGACAACTGTGACTTTTAAGTTGGACACAGGGTCTGAAGTGAATGTTTTGCCTGTGAAAACTTACGAAACACTGAGTGCTAAGAACTCTAATCTTATTTTAAACAAGTGTAATGTTGTATTAGAAGCATTTGGGGGGTCCAAGGTTAAACCTGATGGGTCATTAATGTTACAATGTTCCTCAGATGGTGTGGATCATACTCTAGAGTTTTTAATTGTTTCTAGCAAGCATATACGTCCATTATTAGGAATCGATGCATGTGTTAAACTTAATTTAATTCAGTTTATAAATAAGGTTGGAATATCAATTAAAGGTAAGTTAGATCAGTATACAATTGTTTTAATTAAAACCATCCAGTGATGGTTCCTTAAGAATTAGAGCCTTATGAAAAGTCAACTTTGAACAAGATCTTAACAAAGCTATAAAAAGAGAACATGTGTTGATTCCAACAATTGAGGAGATTTTACCAAAGCTATGTAATAAATCAATTTACTCTGTTTTAGACTTAAAGGATGGGTTTTTTCAAATAGCGTTAGATGGAAATAGTAGTGATCTTTGTACTTTTAGCACACCATTTGGATGCTATAAATTCTTAAGGCTTCCAATGGGCATTTCCTGTGCACCTGAAATTTTTCAGAAACGCAATCTTGAAAACTTTGGTGATATACCAGGAGTATTGGTCTATTTTGATGACATCCTCATTGCTGCTAGCACTATACAAGAACATGATAAAATTTTAACAGAGGTCATCAACAGAGCTAAAAAACTCAATATTAAATTCAACAAGCAAAAACTTCAATATAGGGTTAGTGAGGTTAAATATTTAGGTCATTTATTTAATGCGTCAGGCATGCGACCTGATCCTGATCGAATTAAAGCCATTACTGAGTTACAGGAACCTCAGAATAAGCATGAATTACAGCGTGTTTTGGGAATGTGTAATTATTTGAGGAAATTTGTACCACATTTTTCAGAGAAAACAGCCATATTAAGGGAACTTTTGAAAAACAAAGTAGAATGGCAGTGGTTACAGCTACATTCTAAAGCATTCAGGGAATTAAAAAAATTAATTTCCAATGCACCTGTGTTAGGAATATTTGATAGCAGTAAACCTATAACTATACAGGCAGATAGTTCTAAAGATGGGTTAGGCTGCTGTTTATTGCAGAATGGGCAACCAATTGCTTTTTCGTCTCGGAGTTTAAATAATGCAGAAAAAAAACTATGCTCAGATTGAGAAAGAATTTCTTAGTATTTTATTTGCTGCTAATAAATTTCACTATTACATTTATGGTAGAGAGGTAGAAGTGCTTACTGATCATAAACCATTAGTTTCAATTATGAACAAAAATATTGCTAACGTGTTGTCAAATAGATTGCAGAGGATAAAAATTAAGCTCTTAAAATATAACTTAAAACTTAAATATTTGCCTGGGAAATATATGTATATTGCAGATTTACTGTCACGTTCCTTTATTGATACAGACACAAATGAAAACATGGATATGACAGAGATTGTTCATACACTAACAAAACAACTGCAAATGTCTGAGAGTAAGAAAAGGGAATTTCAGAAAGCTACATTAGAAGATGAAGGGTTAATGCTAGTGAAAGAATATTGGCAAAATGGATGGCCTTTGAGTGTTGATAAAGTTCCTAAAGAAGCAAGATCTTATTTTAAATTTAAAAATGAGTTGAGAGTGTTGAACAAGATTTAGTTTTTTTTTTTTTTAATAATCGAATTGTAGTACCTGTTGCATTAAGGAAGTGTATGTTAACATTATTGCATGAAGCTCACTGTGGGATTGAAAAACCAAAAGCTAGGGCTTGACAAGTACTATTTTGGCCAGGAATCAACAGTGACATTGAGAATATGATTTCTAAATGCCTAATTTGTGATAGGTTCAGGCCTCAAACAGTAAAAGAACCTCTTGTTTCTCATGAAATTCCCAGTTTACCTTATGAAAAGGTTGGTGCTGATATCTGTGAGTATGCGGGGAAAAGTTATCTAGTAATAGGCTGTTACTTAACTAAATGGGTAGACATAATTCCTCTAAAAAATAAAAGTGCAGTGGAAGTTACTAGTAAATTGAAATCGATATTTGCAACACATGGAATACCCAAAACTTTAATTTGTGATAACGTACCATTTAATAGTTGGAAAATGAAGAGTTTTGCAAGGGATTGGGGATTTGAAATAATCACTAGCAGTCCTCGATATCCTAAATCTAATGGATTTGCAGAAAGGTTGGTAGGTATAGCTAAGAGTTTATTTAGAAAAGCAGGATTAGAGAAATTAAATGAGGCTTTACTGGAATATAGAAATACTCCAATTTCAGGTATAAATTTATCACCAAGTCAAATGCTATTAAGTAGGAATTTAAGAACACGATTACCAATTACGCAAACAGAATTGAAACCAACTGTAAAAGATCAATATAGAGAAAAGGTGAGGAGTAAGCAGAAACAGGCTAAAATCTATTATGATAAGCATGCAAGGGAAAGACCTGAATTTATTCCTGGGGAAAAGGTAATGTTGAGATGGGAAAATAAATGGGAGCCTGCTATAGTTTTAAAAAAGCATTCAACTCCTAGATCATATTGGATTAGAACAAAAGATAATAGGGTAATTAGACGGAATAAATTCCATTTAAGAAAAACTAAAAATCAGAATTTAGTGACATTAGACTATTATGATCTATGTAATGAAAATGAGGAAAATATAAGTAGTGAACATCCAAAAATACATAATGATCCTCACCATCAAAATAATAGCAATAATATTAATCGTGATTGTGTATATAAAACAAGAAGTGGTCGTAATGTATATCGACCATCCAAATATGATAATTATGTAATGCATTGATTCCTATGAGTTTCCCAAAAGAGGGGAGATGTTACATATATGTGGCAACACACTAGTTGCTGGTCAAACTGAAGTGAAATAATAGTCAGTGAATGTTAGTGTGGAATAAACAATGTGCTATGTGAACGTGTTGCAATGACTTAATTATAGATCAATAAAATTTAATACGATTAAAACAGACCCAATGTTTTGGTCACCACGTAGGGATCGCCGGCGCTTCTGAGCAGGATACGGGAGAAACTTGTTTAGGACTACTCCATCTTACTTCCTACCTCTATGGCTGAAGTTAATTGTTCCCTCCAACCATAAATAAACCTCACATACTTCACAACCATAAATAAACCTCACATACTTCAAGAAATTCAATTTTGATGACTTAAACCATCTGCCTTTCCGGATACTTCTTCAGAGTTGCCAACTCTCCCGATTTAGGCGGGAGACTCCCGATTTTCAACCGCTCTCCCGCCAACCCGATTTACAATATATTTCTCCCGACTTTTTCTTATTCTTAAAATTTCTCACGATTTTTATGGAACTTGGCTTAATACTTTGTTATATGAACAAGAAAAAACTGATTTTGGATGTCTGAAAGCAATTGAATTTTCTCTAGATTATATCTAAAACAAAACCTTGCGAATCAGATGAGAATTTCTGCTTTGTGAATGAGAGCATACATATCCAGAAACGTCGTTCTCCAATGGGCATCAAGCTCCACTACGTGTCGTCTGGCATATATTAGCACAAAGCAAGCTCAAGGCTGTTATTTGGATGTTCGTTAGTTATTTCGTTCATCTCGTTCTGAGTTGTGTTAGTACACGTGCCTTCGACAAATAGTTTAGAAATTATCTTTTTTTGTTATGTCTGCAAAAAAGGTGAAATACTCCTGTACGTTTCAAAAATAGTACACAGTTGACTTTCCTTCCATTATTTTCTCAAGAAATGTAATTAAATATGCAATGTGTACCGTCTGTCGTTGCGATTTTTTGATTTCGCATGGTGGAAGGGCAGATGTTCTCAATCATATGTGTACACAAAACACACAGGGACAACGCAAGTTCTTTTGAGAAAAAAAAAAAAAAAAAAAATTTTTCTTCGGAAACAAAGGACCAAAAAGTTATTAATGCAGAATGTCTGTTCTTTGCCTTTTTACTGGAGCACAACCTGCCACTGAATGCATAGGATCAAAATCAATTGCAAGGACAAAAACAGGGGCAATTGTTAAAGAAATGGGTTTAAGAAATAAATTTTCAGTTATTGATTGCATTAAAACAGCTCAGTCTGCCTCTCTATGGATGGAAGCAATAATACCGATTCAAAACTATATCCAGTTGTTGTTTCTTTTTTTTAACCCAGAGTCTTCAGAAATTGAGTTCAGTTTACTTTCTGACCCGACTTTAGAAGGACATTCGACAGGCTTTAATATAGCACAGCTAATTATTAAAAACTTTAAAAGAAAATGCAGTCCCTCTGGATAATTGCATAGCACTTGGTGCCGATAATGCACCAGTAATGGTAGGCTTGAAGACTGGTGTTGCAGGCATCTTAAGAAAGGAAAATTCAGATTTGCAGATTATGAGGTACACCTGTCACCTCTTAAATTTAGCAGATGAAAAAAGGTGCAGCTTCTTTATCAATAAATATGGATGAACACATTGTTGATATTTATTATTATCTTGAAATTAGTTCTAAAAGGAAGGGAAAATTGAAACAGTTCCAACAGCTGCATAATACTGAAATGAGAAAAATTTTGAAATATGTGTGTAGACGCTGGCTGTCTTTAAAGAAGTGCTTATCTAGAATCCTCGATCAATGGAACCTTCTTGCATTTTTAAAGAAGTAAATGCTTCGAGAGTTAACACGTTCCCTGCCAGACCGTTTTTTTGAAGACTTCCCGTTCAGGCCGGGTGGGGCGGAAATGCCCCACGCTTTACATTTGTATTATTTTGTTTCTGGCGTATGCCTTACAATAATTAAAATAGCGTAAAAATCATAATTATCAAGGAAAGGTTGTACAGTTTAACATGCATAACACAACAAACCAATAAATTTATTTTTCTAGGAATTAGTTTAACAAATACCTGGCTGAACATTACTATGCCAAGCAAGTTGCATCTTCACATGTAATTTTTTTTATCGTACGTATATCAGTTTGAAATAAAACATTTTAGTTAAATTCAAGTTTGTATGCAATTACAAAGGGATGTTACTATGAACTTTATTAAACATGGCAAACATAAGTGTGCTTTATCCACACAACTATCGCAGAATGTCGCAACTTTTACAGTACAGTTTCTTGCCGATTGGGAACTCAAATTTTTAACATTTCTTTCGTAACAAATTTTACAGCGCCTTCTTATCGAATTAAAGTGCCCATCACGCCGCACAATTAAATGAGGGCATCAGCAGTAGTATTAAGATGCCCATAATTGAGTGCTAAAAAATTCTTCATTTTACAATGATAATACCAAATGGCTTGAACGGAAAGTTTAGCGTGGGAGGCATACGTCCACGCGGCAGGGAATGTGTTAAGATAAAAGGCTCTATTGAAAGTTATAAAATACCTAAAGTAAATGGAGGTGTAGTTACTACTTCCATTGTTAAAAATAGGTTTGAGAAAAGTAAAGTAATTTCTGCAGCCTTCAGCAATTCAACTGGCAGTTCTCAAAATAATAATCTGCCACTGTTCATAAGATTTGTAAGAAAACTGATTAAAGTTATTATTTTTTAAGATGCAAGTAATAAAAATGTTTTTTATGTGTAAGGTACTTTTGTGTTGCTTGCATTTAAGAATTAGTAGCTATTTAAAGTTAATTCATTATTAAAAACTATATTTTTATCATTTTGCGAAAAATCTCCTGATTTCTTAAAAAAAAAATCCTGATTTTTGAGTGTCATAGGTTGGCAAGTATGCTTCTTTTACTGTGACAAATTGAAAGGTTGCAGCGCCATTGAATTTTGTCTCCGAAATACAATTTCATTTCATGATTATTATCACAAGTAGCAATTTTAAGCAAAATGTCTTTCACTTCAAAAATTTGACAGATTCTGAGCAAATCCCAAATTTTCACTGGTTTTTCATCCATTTTTGACGTATTAGGGAAAAGACGTGACTGATAAAAAATAGCACGACTTGTTTTGAAAGTGTGGTGGTAAAAGGTTACCAGCCGCTACATACCGTTTGGGTAGGTTGTATCATTTTGGTGATTTTATCACCTGTGCCGGCAAAATGAAAAAGTACTATTTTTTATTATTTCTTCTGATCAAATCAGAATTTAGATACCTCACTTAGGATCAGCAAAAGGCTGTAGGTCACCCACCGTAATCTTTCAAAATCCTAAATTCTGTCACGGAGTACCTCTCTAAACTCAAAGAATTTTCCTGCTTTTAAATTCTGCCATTTGGTGTGATTGAAATGGCCTTGTCTTTGTAAGATGAAGCTTCTTTACTGCACGGACAGGTAATGGTCAGTAAAATGCATTACTGCTCAAAAGGCAAGAGGTTTCTCTTCTGTGTAGATAAATATTTGTTTACAAATTCATCTTCTATCCAATTAACTTGCTAGATTTTTCACCTATGTAGTTATATATGTTTAATCCACCATTCCGTTATATATGTAATATAGTATATCTGTTTTAGACTTATACTTGAGGTTTCTCAGCTGCATGAATAAGCATATGCTTGTTTAAATGATTTTTTTGATTAAAAGATTTCTTACATACTTCACACATGTGAGGCTTCTCTCCTGTGTGAATAAGCATATGGTTGTTTAAATTACCTTTTTGTTTAAATGACTTCTTACACACTTCACACACATGAGGTTTCTCTCCTGTGTGGATAAGCATATGTAGGTTTAAACAATTCTTGTCACTAAATGACTTCTTACATACTTCACATATGTGTAGCTTCTTTCCTACATGAATAAGCATATGCTTCTTTAAACTGCTCTTTTGACTAAATGACTTCTCACATACTTCACACATATGATGTTTCTCTCCTGTGTGAATTAGAATATGTTTGTTTAAACTACTCTTACGACTATATGACATGTTACATACTTCACATATATGAGGTTTCTCTCCTGTGTGAAAAAGCATATGCACATTTAAATAACACTTTCGACTAAATGATATCTCACATACTTTACACATATGAAGTTTCACTCCTGTGTGAATAAGAATATGTTTGTCTAAACTACTCTTATGACTAAATGCCATCTTACATACCTCACATATATGGGATTTCTCTCCTGTGTGAATAAACATATGCCTGTTTAAAGTACCCTTTTCGCTAAAGGATTCCTCACATACTTCACACACATGAGGTTTTTCTCCAGTGTGAATAAGCATATGCTTGTTTAAATTACCTTTGTCACTAAATGACTTCTTACATACTTCACAGATATGAGGTTTCTCTCCTGTGTGAATAAGCATATGCTTGTTTAAATTATCCTTTTGCCTAAATGACTTATTACAAACTTCACAGACATGGGGTTTCTTTCCTGTGTGAATAAGCATATGCTTATTTAAAGTACCCTTTTCTCTAAATGACTTCTTACATAATTCACACATATGAGGTTTCTCTCCTGTGTGGATAAGCATGTGTTTGCTTAAATAAACCTTTTGTCTGAATAACTGATTGCATTCCTCACATACATAATGTTTCTCTATTGTATTGATATCCATAAGCTCTTCTTAGATATGGCTACCTCTAAATGATTGGTCACATAGCACTAGACATGAAGTTTCTTCCCTATATAGATAAATGTAAGCTCTGATCTTACATTACTTGCTACATACATCAGGATGATGTTTGTGGTCTGCAAGAATATAAAATGGGATGGTTAACTGATTTTTACCAAAGCAGTTCTTGGTTACTCTACTCTAGCTTTCATTAATCATTTAGCCTTGCACAACATTGCCCCCCTCCGTTAAGATCGATCCTGCTCCACTGGTACACTACTATGGCGTTCTTATTTGTAACAGCCGATTTTGTGTTAGATATTCGTAATTTCTTACGAGTGGAAATTTACGCCGTATCTTGAAAGAATAGATAGAGTCTATCTGCGTAAGTTAATATTAATAATTCGAAGACAACCTTGGTGGCGAAAAATTGGCTCCTTTAAGGATGTGGGCGACATTTTTTTATGCGAATTATTATTTTCCCTTAATTCTGAATTACTATTATTTAAATGAATCAAACAGTTCAAGAAATATAACTTCATAAATTCACTTTTAAATAAAAATTACAGGTGAAAAAAGTTTTGTATTAATGGTGCAAGATTTCACAATGACCAAAAAAATTTAATTTTGCAAATATTTTTTTTTTTTTTTTTTTTTACAGCAAGTATCTCTCCACCAGATACAGTACTTTAGATTCAACCAGAATTTTGAAATTGGCAACACTTTTGATGATCGAATTTTATTTATTATTTATTATTCACTGTGTGATTTCTGTTTCTCGAGTGGAGCAGTAGGATTTGTGGAAGGTAAAAATGTCTGCAACGGACTGTCCTGCCTTGCCAAAAGGTTG